TTTTTTTTTTTTTTTTTTTTTCTTTTCTTTTGATGTCCAGTCACTTACTCCTTCGAGTTTTATTCGCTGTTATTAACCTATTTCTTCCATCCAACAGAGATTAGACCTTTAGGAAAAGGCAGCGAAGTCATCCAAAGTAACATTTTTTTTATTAAAGCTTGGATCGTTCGAAGAAATAGTTATTTCGGAACAAGAGAGATTAGACGAATTACTTGGGCGATATTATTGCAACTTTAATGACAATAGCGCAACCGGACGCACAATCAGAGATCTCGCTCTCTGTCTCTATAACTGTCACCATTTATTTTTCAGAAAAATTCCTATATTTAGTTTCACACTGCTTGAAGTGTTGATTAGAAAAAACGTAGCTAATCCAACAAAGGTTAAAGGCACATATAGCGCAAATGAAAAAGTGTTTGTTTCGCTTCAAGATAGACAATATTGCCCCAAGGTGTTAACGTAAGTCTACATGCCACACACAGCTCCTATAAACAAATTGCCTTAACCCCGCCTTGGATTTGGCACTTTGTGAATGTTTTGTGATACGCTCGAAACTAAACGATAGATTAGATGGAAAGTTGCTCAATATGGCAAAAGCTAAGTAAGTTAAGTAAGTGTAAGAATCTGCTTTTGAAGCTGCTTTGGTAGTCTCGAAAAATGGCCAGAGCTGATAAATGTGTTAATTGAAAATACTTTGAAAATCGAAAAACTTTGGTTCAATTGGTTTAAACTCAAATGTTAACGATATACTGGAACATCAATTATAATATGGTATTTATGTACTTATCGTCTACATATTTTGTAAATAAATTCACAAAGTTTGGATTTAAAGGCTCCTGGATAACTTAGATCACACGCTCGCCGCTATTGAAAATGCTACCGTAATTGAGATTTGAAAGCGCGATCCTCTGCCTACTCGGCTACTCATGCGGATATAAGTTAATATAGTTCTTACTTTGCTCATATACATTTCATAATATCTATATATATGCATAACAAGTATACAAAATTCCAAGACCTGCGATCCGAAGTTAATTTACATTCTCCATTTTCTTTTGTTAGTTGCGTGACTTAAACATTTAAAGAGACTTCATGTGCATGCAAATCAGTTCAAATTGCCAACATTTTCTAAATAATGCTAAGCCTTTCAGATATGCATGTATGTCGACTTAAATAAATAAAAAAAGTCAAGTAAAGCATAAAAGAAGTCTATTATTAGGTTAGCATAGCACTAAAATGCAAACACAGAAAATGCATTATATAACTATTATATAATCAAATGCGAAATGCGTTCATATAAAAATACGCTTTTGTGTGTGTGTGTGTGTGTGTGCGTGTTTTTTTTTAAATGACACCTTCGTCACTAACGTCCAAAATTGACATGCAGTCCTGGTCCTTGAAAAAAAAACAAACCTTAATAAAGGCAGGAAAATAATCGATATTAATTTTAGAAGGTGGCGTCATTGACTTATGGATTGCAGTGCTCCCACCTCCTTTGATTCTTTCCAAAATGTTGGAAGAATTGAAATTTAATGTGTTCTCAAGGTTGACTTGAAAACCGTTATTGCAACTCTCGCTTTGCTGCTGACTTTAAACTGCCTGATACGCCCACCGATGGTATGAAACGAAATGACCGCCCAAAAGATGTAATTGTATCGGAAGGGTGGCACAAAATTTGTAAGGGCAAGTTAGCTAATATATTGGTGGTATGAAAAGATAGTGGCATTCATTAGTTGTCAAGTGCACTCTCAATGGACGAAGTGTATCATTTTACAAGTCGAACTTGCCTAAACTACAGTTCTAATTGTTGGTCCACCCACATCAGATATTGCCAGCGACAACTTTTATTTATTGGGAAGAAGATTCAAATCAAGTGATAAGATCATTACGAAAACTAAAGCATATTTTAAACGTCCTCGACAAATCATTCTTTAGGAAAGGTATCGACATGTCGGAGAAGATTTGAACTGAACGTAATATTCTTGCTGGAGTGTGGCTGTGTAGCTGTAATAAAGTCGAGTTTTGCATAAAAGAAATCTATTTTCTTGCTTAGTCACTTAGTTGCAGAACTTATTGATCGATATATTTGTTGTAAGAACGTAGAGAGCGTATTTGCTATGCACATGACAAGCGTGAATATCGAGTCTCTACTTTGCAATTTTTTATGCGCTTGTATAGGACAGCAAGCGTATGGAGAGAGCATGCACGAATAGGTATGTAACATATAAAAACATAAGTACAAGCATATGTGTCAACGATAAAGTGGACAGAAAAATGCGATAAAACTGATAGAGATTCCCCTAACACGCAAACAGAAAACTTATGAAGATATAATCCTAAAAGAGAGCAGCTCCGAGATGAGTAGGTTTAATTAAATCCTGAAAACTGAAAAGAACAATGAATGCATCATGAATGAGTGTAAGCGAAATTCTAAAGGGAAAACAAATATGTATGTATGATATATGTTAAGTGTACTTGTTTTATGTGTATGATTATTAGAGCATTCATGCCATGGCAGGTAGGTATCCAACCACTTTATTAAAGGATTGCTTATTGCTTCATGTGTTACATCATCTAGAAAAGATTTCTTTTGCTTGAAGACACATTTTTCAAATAGTTTCTCAAATCGAATGATGACTAGCAAACGAGTGGACAGACGTTCATGCTTTAATATTCAAGTTTCGGGTTAATGCTTTCAAAACTTGCTTTTTTTATTAAAGGTAAATGGAAAGTAAGCTAAGTTGCTCATGTCAGCGTTCGTGGCTGTTCATTTACATCCCCTTTGACTGCGGCCACCAGCTCTCTATTTCTTTCTTTCTTCCTCCTACGTCACTGCCTTCTGAGCTTCACCGGGTTACGCGAACAGGGGACATCTCCTAAATGATTGGTCATGTAAAAAAAAAAAAAAAAAAAAGTGAAGGAATTTGATTAACATTGGGATGCTCTACGCATTCGATTGAATTGAAAACTCAAAGTGCTGAACTTTAAATCCTTAGCTCTACAATTATAGTCGAAAATCGGCAATTGTTTGCCTATTCTATCAAAAGAATGTTTGTCTCTTAGAGGATCGATTACAATAATTTATTGCATTTATTTTCATTTTACATTAAATTTTTGCTTTGTAAACTTTTCGCTTTCTTTTAAGAATTTTCGTTTCATTTGAAATTATAATCGATAACACAATAACTTGTACCGTACAAGCACAAGTGGCCATTAAAGCTATATAAGGTTACAAACGAATTTTTCTATTTGATAGTCGTTAGAGTTTATATTAAACCGAGAAGAGAAAACTAATGGGGAAAACATATAATAAAATTGATGAAGAAAACTGAATAGATTTTTAAATTGAAAAAATGTGAACTTCGTCGCAAGTTTTGATTGGGTTTTTAGGCTAATTTACTTATTTCCTTTTTAGTTTAGAAGAAAGGAAGTAGATGAGAAATTCTTGGAAAGAAGAATATAAAAAGCTAAAGTATTGGCATAATAAAGACAACAACCATCAATGAGATGCATATTATTTGTAAAATTTAGGACACAGCTGTGTGGCAGTGCGCTCTCTTATCGCACACACACTCAGCAACTTATTCATATCGTTGCAATCAGCTTTATTAGAAGTCTGTGGATTGGCTGTAGGAAAGCTGCTGGAATACAGTAATCAGAATGAAATATTAAAATTAAA